TGGTGCTGTCCACCCACCCCCTCGTGTGCCACAGTGCCGACCTTCATAGGTGCTCGCTAACAGCACTTGCCCCTACAGCCTGTTACATCCATACGGGGGGAGGGGGGGTCATTGTTGTTGTTGTTGTGCCGCATATCTCTGATGTGTTGTTGATGTTGTTGATGTTGTTGTAATGCTGCACGCACAAAAGATCCCCCGTGTAGCCTTAACAGACTGTAGGGGCAAGTGCTGTTAGCGAGCACCTATGAAGGCCGGAACGGCACACGAGGGGGTGAGTGGCCAGCACCACGCCCGGCCGCCTTTGTCTCCCCAGTGGCGATGTTTACACACCGCACCAGGTACTCATTTGAGGCTGAGTCGACCTAGGGGAAGCCCGGGACCGGTTCAGATAATCGTCACTGGTATTGGCCGTGAGCGGGAATCGAACCCGTGTCGCCGGGTTCATAGCGCAGCGTAGCGCTAACCACTACACTGTCGCACGCACACTCACGCACGCACGCACACGCACACACACTCACGCACACTCACGCACGCACACACACTCACACACGCCCACACACACACACTCACGCACACACACTCACACACGCCCAAACACACACTCACGCACACGCACGCACGCACACTCACGCACACGCACACACATGCACACACAAGCCCACACACACACGCACACTCACACACACGCACACACGTACACACACGCACTCAGGTGTGAGCACACCTGTAGTGTCACGTGACCTGTAATGCCCGGTTACTTGTCAAATTCCTTCTTGAGTACTTTTGCACGCGGAGAAAGCCAATGCGTTCAACTGGACACACGCGTGGAGATGGGTCACGTGTCGAGAGTGGTGAGTGAACCCTGTTGCTTGAGCGACTCGTAAAGCCGCCTCCGCAACTTCCCTAATTTAATTATTAAATCCACGAGGCGCTACTCACGGGGGGGGGAATGCCACGAATACGATCTGACTTTTTAGTTGCTGCAGGAAATTAAATCGGCTATTTTACGCGTCCAAATGCAAAGACTCGTTTGAGGAAGAGAACGTAGCGTGCCACGCGGCACGAGTCGGCGTTCTCTCGCATGCGAGGAAGCCTCTTGCATTCGTTATGAAGATGTCAGGAGTGACCTTTCGCCAGTGTGGCTAATTAAACACACGACGACAGGACTGGACTCGATTAACGATTGCTTTCAAGGGCAGATTGAAAGTGAGAGCACTTTTATAAAGCAAACGCATTCCCAGCCCCCTGAACAAAAGAAACTGGTACGATCCACTCTGCAATCTAAACGTGTGCGTCTCTGACTGCTGCAATGTCTATAAACTCAAACATCTGTTTTAGTTCACAAAGCATGGCCCACTGAGCTATGTAGCGCTCTTGCAGAAGCGACCTGGCTTTCACGAATGATAGCCACATTGAAATGGCTGATGACGTGGACACTTAAAGCAGCCAAACACTCTGAACGCGTGATGTTGATTCTAAATGTGGAGGGGGAAAACCGGAGGACCCGGAGACAACTCCACGGGGAGAATATCATGCAGGAGATGGTGGGTGGTGAAGGGTGATGTTTGCCATGGGTATTGTGCACGATCCATCCTGGGTTTAACCTGCAGGCTGGATTGTGTGAGGAGCTCACAAATCCTTGAAAGATCTGGGCAAAGTCCCTTTGGTGAGCTCCTCCGGCAGGCAAGGCTGCGTTGGCTGGGTCATGTAGCCCGCATGCCCAGCCACCGCATGCCTAAACAGCTTTTGTTCGGCACGGGCTAGAGAAGAGATGGAGTGATGTGGTACAGGAGGACGTGGAGCTGAGTGGACTTGCCGATGACTGGTACCAGCGGTGTCAAGATCGGCCTCTGTGGAGGAGGCTCGTGAAGGACGCTACTGGGCAGTTGGAGGCAGTCGCCCTCCAACAACAACGGAGGGCGGAGGAGCGACGCTCACAACAACGAGCGGAGCGCCGGGTGGCTAAAACACAGCAAGTTGGCACAGTATGGGGCACAGGTGGTGCATCAGCCAGTCATCTCAGTCAGTCAACCCGTGGCACCTGCTGGGTCTGCCCCGTGACCTCCTGCCAGCGGGCGTTCGACACTTCACGTGGCCTCAAGGTGCACTTGGCCTGGCACAAGCGTCGTGGTGACGTCACCGCCACTTAGTGGCGAATGGCGGTTGTTGTTGTTGTGTGCCTGTGTGTGTGTGTCACTGTGTGTGTGTACCCGTGTGTGTGCGTGCGGGCGCTCCGGGAATGAGGGATAACGGGCGCGGGCTACACTTCATCCCGCGTCCCCTCCGCCTCCCCCCACCCACCCACCCACCACCCCAGAATCCCACCAGCCACCTCGCCACATTTCACAGTTCCGAGTTGCACGTTACCCCACACACACTCACTCATAGGGACACAGAGGCAAAGTTCCCCCGTGTAGCCTTCGACAGGCTGTAGGGGCAAGTTGCTGTTAAGCCTGCAAGCTGCTGACCGATGTTGACACACCGCACCAGGTTCTCGTTTGAGGCTGGCTCGAAACGCGTGCGTCTCTATAAACTACACACAGAGGTAAATACGCACGCAAACCTGCGTTCTGATATGCACATAAATGCGCGTACGTGTACGTATGCGTATTTATAGACGCACACGTACGTGGCACATACACAAGTACATCCACGCATACATTTGTGTCCGCGCATACGTACACACGTACGTGCGAACGTACGAGCGCACATGCGTAAACGCAGGTACACGGGCATACAAAGCGCCCCGTAAAGGCTTAACGGGCTGTAGGGGCAAGTGCTGTTAGCGAGTAGCACCTATGAAGGCTACCGGCACTGTGGCACACGAGGGGGGCGAGTGGCCAACACCACGCCAAGCCACCTGTCTCCTCAGTGGCGATGTTTATACATCGCACCAAGTACTCATTTGAGTCTGAGTCGACCTAGGGGAGGCCCAGAACCGTTTCAGATAATCGTCACCGGTGTTTGTCCGTGAGAGGGAATCGAACCCGGGTCGCCGGGTTCGTAGCACAACGCGCTAACCGCTGCACCACCGCTCCCCGTCACGACACACAGACGGGTACACAAACAGCCTCGCACACGGCCGCACGCCGCGCTCCTGAGCGCCACCATCCCAGAGACGAGCACGCGTTCAACATTCCGGCCGCCCTGACGTGGGCGTCCCCTAGGTCCACTCGGCCTAAAATGATTACTCTAGCACGGTGAGTGCGTGCATGCGTGCGTCACACAATCGTGCGACTATACACGTGCCACGACACTGACTCGCATCCCTCCGTGGAGTGCGATGCTCCGGCCTTAATAGGAGCTCGCAAACACCCACTGCCCCCCCATCCCCCCGCCCCCTCCCCCCGCCACGAGAGGACTCTAGCGTGGCGGCTAGAGTCCTCTCGTCCTCTGGCTTGAGATGGCTGCCACCTATGGGTCAGATGATTGTCTGCAGTATTAAACAATTGGTAATTAAATATTTAATTTGTTTTCCCTAAACAGTGTAAAATTTTGGAAAAAAATTTTCACGAACATTAATTGTCTCGCGCAACGAGTCTGTGTGCAAAATGTCAGCTCGATTGGATCACGGGAAGTGGGTTAAAAAACGACCGAAAGGTTTGCACGGTCGTAAGCAAGCACGCAAGCACGCAAGCAAGCGAACTTAATATAAAGGATTTAAAAAGACACATCGATATCCGTCAAGCAATACCGCACCGCACTGAAGGGCGCTGCACAAGAAGATCGAACTTTAATTCGCCTCCGCAAAGAGCCATAAACATAACACGATGACTTCGCGAAACAAGCAGAATGATCCGGCGTAAACATTGATAAACCAGCCCTCACAAGTTGTCGTTTCCCACCCCCTCCCCCCCCCATCTTTGCCGTCTTGACGAGGAGGCGTGGGATGATGGTTTGCGTGGCCGGCTGTGTGGACTCACATACTGCAACCCAGAGGTGTGGACTCGAGTCATGTGACTTGGACTCGAGTCAGACTCGAGTCATGAATTTGATGACTTCAGACTCGACTTGGACTTGCATAACAATGACTTTGTCCCACCTCTGCTGCGACCCCCCCTTCTCTTTCTCCCCCAGCCCCCCCCCCCCCACTATGAGTAGTGTACTCCGGCATGCCCCCCACTATGAGTAGTGTACTCCGGCATGCCCCCCACTATGAGTAGTGTACTCCGGCATGCCCCCCACGGCTCCCTTGCTGACAGCGCTGCTAATAGATGTGTGGGCGTGCGTGGGAGAGACGGCCTCCACGAGGAGCGGTGGTGCAGCGGTTAGCGCGCCGCGCTATGAGACCCGGCGACCCGAGTTCGATTCCCGCTCACGGTGGCGATGATTTGAACCGGTCCTAGGTCGACTCAGCCTCAAATGAGTACCTGGTGCGGTGTGTAAACACCGTCACTGGGGAGACAAAGGTGGTCGCGCGTGCTTGCTGGCCACCCCACAAAGACAAAGATCCCCTGTGTAGCCTGCACAGAATGTTGGGGCAAGTGCTATTAGCGAGCACCCCTCACACAAAGACAAAGATCTATAGGACTAGGCTAGGCCTAACTCCTCAAAATAAAACAAGCATTCGCGAACAACGCACGCAGAATAATCTCTCTATAACTCTCTCTCTCGGTCTTCATTGCACCTGTAATTATTTATGTTCTACTGCAGTCGGGGCGATGAGACAGACCCTGGGGGGGAAGTCCGGGAGGACCCGGCCTCATCTTGGTGTTGGGCAGTTTGTGGTCTTTCTTCTACTTCATCCTCCGGTTCTGGAACCAGATGTTGACCTGGCGCTCGCTCCGGGCCAGCGACTGAGCGATCTCCAGGTGGCGCCGCCGCCGCGTGAGGTAGCCGTTGAAGTGGAACTCCTTCTCGAGCTCCAGCACCTGCTCGTGTCCCTGGCTCTCGGAGTCGACTGCGGATGGATAGCGGTTCGGTGGTTGGTGGTGGTGGTGGTCGAGGGTGGATAGTGAAGGAGGTAATTAAGGTGGTTGTTGGTGGTCGTGGTGATGGTGCTCACAAAAACTGCTCTGCGCCCCACGCAGACACTCACTTGCAGGTGTGTTCACTGAGCTGGAGTTTGCGGTCCCGAGCGGGGCCTGCACCAACAGAGCACGGAGCAGACGGTCGGCAAAAAGACGTGAGGCTCAGACGCTCGACAATAATCTCTCGCACGGGGGGGGGGGGGGGGGGGGGGGGGTCACGGTTCACAAATAATCATCATCATCGTCGTCGTCGTCATCATCATCATCGTCGTCGTTGTCTTCACAGCTGCTGTCATCAGCCGCTTTCACACTGACTGCACTCAATTAAAATGAAGTGAAACTCGAAAACCAGCCATGCTTTATCCACTGCTAGATGACAGCTTTCCCCCCCCTAGCGGTGTGCTCCGTGACACATTCGGGACGTTGCCGCGGTTCTAATAGTCGGCACACGCCGGGCTAGCGGCCCAGACATCGTCGCTTCCATCTCCCCTGGCGCAGCTGTTGAAGCGACGGTCAAAGTTGCTGAGATCCCCCGACCACCGCGTCCGTCACCCGGCGGTGTGAATGGGCACAGCCGCAGTTAGTCGATCGGCAGGTCGCGAGTGGTGGGATGAAGTGTGGGTACGCCGACCTGTTACAAGACTTCTGACCGTTGCGGAAGATTAGGCCAAAGATTATCCAGAGGGGCTCCTCTCGAGCTCCCTGTAGTGGAGGCTCTTCTGCCAGCACTGGCGGTGACCAAGCAATTGCAGGGTTGCACCTTTAACTTTCTGCTCAAGTTCATTGCCTTCGTTAGCTTACGGTCAATCTTTAGTTAATGTGTATGTGTACCTATTACAGTGCCTAGCACTAGCATGGCCTGGGGGCTTGTGAGTCATGGAAACGAAAGCAGTTTTGTAAGTGTCACTGTGGGCAGCATTGAGAGAGAGAGAGTATCACTACATGTCGGAGAGAGTGTGCGTGGCGATCCATTCATAGATGCCCCACTAAAATACCGGTGGTAATATTAGAGAAAAAAACAAGATTTACTTTCAAAGCCTCGACATCTCCCCCACAAAATCGTAATTACTCGCTATTTATACCCCGGGGGGTGAGGTGGGGGCTGGGGATGAGATGTGTGGGGGGGAGGGGGTGACGGGGCGTGGCTAACAGGTGTGGGGGGTGTGGGGGGTGAGGTGGGGGCTGGGGATGAGATGTGTGGGGGGAGGGGGTGACGGGGCGTGGCTAACAGGTGTGGGGGGTGTGGGGGGTGAGGTGGGGGCTGGGGATGAGATGTGTGGGGGGGAGGGGGTGACGGGGCGTGGCTAACAGGTCTGGAGGGTGTGGGGGTGAGGTGGGGGCTGGGGATGAGATGTGTGGGGGGAGGGGGTGACAGGGCGTGGGCTAACAGGTCTGGGGGGTGTGGGGGTGAGGTGGGGGCTGGGGATGAGATGTGTGGGGGGGAGGGGGTGACGGGGCGTGGCTAACAGGTCTGGAGGGTGTGGGGGTGAGGTGGGGCTGGGGATGAGATGTGTGGGGGGAGGGGGTGACAGGGCGTGGGCTAACAGGTCTGGGGGGTGTGGGGGTGAGGTGGGGGCTGGGGATGAGATGTGTGGGGGAGGAGGGGGTGACGGGGCGTGGCTAACAGGTGCAAACCAGTGACTGTAATTGGTTTAGTGAGGAAAAACTTTCAAGATGTTTAGGGGGGAGGGGGGTCGCCCGCCCCAGGCCCCGCACTTTGGGGGGCGTGGGGCACGCTTCGACGTCACGGTGTCAGATGTAATACTCGCGGTTTATTTTGAAGGCATCTTGGGGGGGGGGGGGCTGCTGATGATGATGTTGCTGCTGCTGATGATGCTGCTGCTGCTGATGATGATGATGATGTTGCTGCTGCTGATGATGATGCTGCTGATGATGATGATGTTGCTGATGATGATGATGTTGCTGCTGCTGCTGATGATGTTGCTGCTGATGATGATGTTGCTGCTGCTGATGATGCTGCTGCTGATGATAATGTTGCTGCTGATGATGATGCTGCTGCTGATGATGATGATGCTGCTGCTGCTGCTGCTGATGATGATGCTGCTGCTGCTGATGATGATGATGATGCTGCTGCTGCTGCTGCTGCTGCTGCTGCTGCTGATGATGATGATGCTGCTGCTGCTGATGATGATGCTGCTGATGCTGTTCACCTGAACTTGGGCTTGGCCCGGCTGGGCGCGTCAGGGTCAGTCAGGATGATTGTGTGGAGGCCCAAGGGGTCACATCCCTCCCACTCCATAACAGTCGGCTTGTCCTTCACCTACAGTGACGGAAACGAGTATTTAAACCCCTGCTGATGTTGTACGTTTGCCCACTGACAAAGAAATTATAAGTCTATAATTTTAATGGTAGGTTTATTTGAACAGTGAGAGACAGAATAACAACAAAAATCCAGGAAAAAATGTTATAAATTGATTTGCATTTTAATGAGGGAAATAAGTATTTGACCCCTCTGCAAAACATGACTTAGTACTTGGTGGCAAAACCCTTGTTGGCAATCACAGAGGTCAGACGTTTCTTGTAGTTGGCCACCAGGTTTGCACACATCTCAGGAGGGATTTTGTCCCACTCCTCTTTGCAGATCTTCTCAAAGTCATTAAGGTTTCGAGGCTGACGTTTGGCAACTCGAACCTTCAGCTCCCTCCACAGATTTTCTATGGGATTAAGGTCTGGAGACTGGCTAGGCCACTCCAGGACCTTAATATTCGTCTTCTTGAGCCACTCCTTTGTTTCCTTGGCCGTGTGTTTTGGGTCATTGTCATGCTGGAATACCCATCCACGACTCATTTTCAATGCCCTGGCTGAGGGAAGGAGGTTCTCACCCAAGATTTGACGGTACATGGCTCCGTCCATCGTCCCTTTGATGCGATGGAGTTGTCCTGTCCCCTTAGCAGAAAAACACCCCCAAAGCATAATGTTTCCACCTCCATGTTTGACGGTGGGGATGGTGTTCTTGGGGTCATAGGCAGCATTCCTCCTCCTCCAAACACGGCGAGTTGAGTTGATGCCAAAGAGCTCCATTTTGGTCTCATCTGACCACAACACTTTCACCCAGTTGTCCTCTGAATCATTCAGATGTTCATTGGCAAACTTCAGACGGGCATGTATATGTGCTTTCTTGAGCAGGGGGACCTTGCGGGCGCTGCAGGATTTCAGTCCTTCTCGGCGTAGTGTGTTACCAACTGTTTTCTTGGTGACTATGGTCCCAGCTGCCTTAAGATCATTGACAAGATCCTCCCGTGTAGTTCTGGGCTGATTCCTCACTGTTCTCATGATCATTGCAACTCCACGAGGTGAGATCTTGTGTAGTGGCGGTACGCGCTGACAAGGGGGGCGCGTGTGTGAGCGCGCCGGGTGTGGCTATATCGCGTGGTATAGTGGTGACACGCGCTGACAGTGATGGATCACGTGGCAGCGCGTGGTGCGTGGTTGTGTGCGCTGACACAAGATGGGAAAAAGGATCGTGGGGCAGCTCGTGGTGATTGGTCAACTGGGGTGGGTGCTCTCAGTGATGTCCTCATGGGCTCCGCCTCCCCGGGAGCGGAGGACTATAAAGGGGGACGCGCGGGAGCACTCGAGGAGTTGTTAACCAGTGAAGATCGAAGATGGAGTTGGAGAGATAGGGCCCTGAGACCCCTAGTCCCGCTGTCCTTGTAAGGGCCGGGGCCCTGTGCGGCTCGGAGGCGAGACTGTGGGACCCGCGGTCTGACGTCCATGTGGGGCGAGGCTGTGGGACCCAGGGGTCGAGACTCATACCCCAGCCGGGGTGGGTTCCCGAGAAGCTACGGGGCGGAAGAGCCCGTGGGTGTGTAGCCGGGGGAACCGCGCAGCTTAGGCTACAGTTGGCCATACGTGTAAATAAGTTTGGTGTTAATAAAAGTGTGCTACTTGTTAAGTCGTTTCCCGCCAAGTTACTACATTACAACTGGCGTCAGAAGTAAACCTGTCTTCAAAAGGATGGATACTAGGAAGACTACCCGTACCCACGAGCGAGATCGGGAAGACGACTACGACGTACCGGAACTACAAGCCTCGGGAGGGGAGGACGAGGAGATGCCGACGTCGCAGCACCTCGCGGCGATACCCGACGCTCCGCTCGGGTCCGACACCGGCCTCCAGGATGCACACTCCCGCCTGGCGGAAATCACCGCTTCTGGAGGCGGGAGGACGACGACGAGGCTGGAGGAGGGAGCGCGGCCCGAAGGATCCCGCCAGAATGCGCTCCGCGCCTCAAATTTTGAAATTGGCGCCAATTTTGATGATCCACCATCGATTGGCGGGAAGCGTGGACACCACGTGGTCGGGGACCTCCACTCTACACAGCCCGCGTCATCAGCGCGCGCCAAAAGTCTCCACCATGCACCTGCCGAGGGAGCCGCCATTCTCGTCAACCACAGCGGCGCGCGGGAAAATCATCCATCGGAGGAGGACGACCAAGTCTTCCAACAAAGACTTCCCGCGCTGACGGCGTTCAAGGCTGAGGGGGGCGACTGGGGGGCCTTCCAGCGAAGGTTTCTCGCACATCAAGAAATGTCGGGGTGGTCCGACGCCACTGCCTTACGTGCGCTGCCGGCGACGCTGGACGACGACGCACTTGCGGCCTTCAGGTCCGCCCCAAGATCGTCCCGCTCCACACTCCAGGCCGCGCTACACCTCATGGCCACGGTGTTTGGACCGCCCTCGACCTGTCGCCACCAGTTTTATGAATGGCGTAAAGTGGACGGGGAAACTACGCTCGCCTACTGCACGTCGCTGCTCGCCCTGGTGGATGCCGCCTTTCCCCGCATGGACGAGGAGGGGAAGGACGCCATGGTGACAGAGCAGCTGCTGGCGTTGGCCCACGACCTGGGGGTCCCCATCAATACGGCTGACGAAATGGACATCTGCTCCTTGGGGGTTGCTACAAGTATCCATGCACACGAGGTCCTCAAGCGAAAGCGGACGGTCGTCTGTGCATCGGCGGGGATCGCGACACCTGCCTCGATGGTCGCCGAGCCTCAGACTGTTCCGGCTTGGGAGGAGGCCTTCACCGTGGCGAGACCGGGGGAGTGGAGATCGGGAGGTCGTTCACCCATGCGATCGTCCCCCAAGCTGGAGCAACCGAAACCTGCGATGTCTCTCGTCATGTGTTACA